CGTTAGAAAGTAAAAAAAGTAATAGAAATCTGAAAGAGTTTCAATATTTCGAATTCTAAAAACACAAAAACGTTTGGATTTTATTATCTGTAAGACCCTGTTCACACTGGGGCAGTTCGGCCGCACGGATCTGCCGACATGAACAATCCCATACATTGCTTTAGGTACAATTCATGCGATCGCGCGGGTTCGCATGATCTGAACTGCCCCCCGCTTGAACTGCTCCATTTGTTATTTTTGCAGCGCTGATCAGTACGGTTTCCATACAGCTTGCAATGGAACTGCGCTGATGAGTGCGGTTTTGGGCGTTTTTAATTGCATTTCAGTGCTGTAACACAATTAAAAACTCCCAAAACTTCCATTTTGATATCAGTGCGTTAAACCGTGCTGATCCGCAACCACCCTGGTGTGAATGGGCTCATAGGGTGAAGTAAATTGCCTCACCACCTGTTTCTTAGTTATTTTTCTATCTCTATGCATTAAAAATGCAAAAAAAGGGCATGGTCCCCCCCCCCCCCCTACTTTACAACACACACAGGGACCATGTGGAACAAAAGTAGCCCCCATCCAGAAGGAAGGACAGTGTCGGGACCAATTCAGAGATGATTTGAGGATCTACAGCCGAGTGATACACAAATAAGATAAATTTTTGTTAATGGTTAAAGTTCTTGAATGTATTTTTAAGATCACTTTAAACCACCAGCTGTTTTCTCCCTAGGGATGTCCGCGATGAGATTAAAAGGTCCCAATCCTCTAACAAAAACTACAATATCACTTTTGGGTGGACTGACTCTTTAATTCACCCAGTGGGCCTGTTAGCCGACCGCTACATGTGGTCCCCGAGCAGCTGGAAGCCCGCTGTCTTATATATCACTTTTTTATTTTATTGTATGCCTTCCCTGGAAGTTAGCTAATTACTTTATTCAATGAGCCACACAGCATTTTATCGATCACAGCAGAGAGCGGTGGGGGGGTCTAATCTCTCCTCTCTGTTCCGATTATACACATTGCAGCATTTTACTGTATGAATTATTAATTATTCCATATATTAATAGTTTGTGTAGGAGGAAAAAGTAATGTCAGTATCATTTTCTGTATATTTATTATTTCTTGTCTTTTTTTTTTTTCCACATTCCTCTCCGCTCAGAGCCACTATATTTAAATGAGTTTCTGCAGAAGTATAAAGTGTTTTGATAATAGTTGAACTATATAATGTTTTATATGTTAGTCGTATGCCATGGCTTATTAGACCTGCGTAAAAAGGATAAGAAACACAGTGATATAGCAGACTTTAAAGCTGAATTCCGAGAAGACATAGAAAACACAGATTAATGCAGCTCTGTATTCATTAATGCATTAAATGCAAGCAGTGTGAAAACCTGATTTTGACATAGGATCATCAATACCTGTACATTAGTGCTCAGATGGTGGGTGAGAAAAGCAGCACAAATCAACGGTAATGCAGTCCTTGTGTGTTAGCAAGGAACCTGCTGATAGGGGGAGAAAGCAGAGTAAAAGAGAGATGAGCACATGTGTCTGTTGCTCTTCCTTTCACTGCCTAGTCACAGACTGCGGAAGGGTCAAGACCTGTAATGCAAGTTTTACTTGAAACCTAAATTCAGGCTCAGTCCCCCCTCCCTTCAGTTTCCTCACCCTAGAGACCCTCCATTGCTCTAATATAAATACAGTGTGTATATATATATATATATATATATACAAAGACATAAGTCCATCAAGTCCAACCTATTGCGTGTGTGCATTTATGTTTGAGCAGGTGTGTGCGTGTATATGATTCTTGTTCTTAGGCGTACCTGTACCCCTGTATGTTATGGTCTCAGAGGAACTCGTCCAGGAGTTTCTTGAATGCTTCCACGCTCTTAGCTGAAATCACTTCCTGCGGCAGCGAGTTCCAGACCTTAACCGCTCTAACTGTGATGAACCCTTACGCCCTGTGTTTTGACATTTTTTTTTTCCATCAATTTTTGTTGGTGTCCTCTGGTCTTTGTTACGGAGCTAACCGTGAACAGTTTGTTAACAATGTTGCTGTCACTATTGCATAGTTTATACAGGAATATCATGTCCCCCCTTAATCTCCTAACCTCCAACGAGAACATATTTAATTTTAACAGCCTTGTTTCATAGTTCAGGTCCTCGAACCCCTTAATGAGTTTTGTTGCCCTCCTCTGGACTTTTTCCAGCTCAAGGACATCTTTTCTGAGTATTGGTGACCAAAACTGGACCGCATACTCAAGATGTGGCCGAACCATTGATCTGTAAAGTGGCAAAATTATAGATTTGTCCCTGCAATACATTCCCTTCTTAATGAAAGACAGGACTCTACTTGCTTTTTTTTACAGCAGCCTGGCACTGCGAGCTGTTCATTAGTCTGCGGTCTATAATCACCCCCAAATCCTTCTCCGTTTCCGACTTCCCTAGTGGCGCACCCATAAGTGTATAGTCCATTTGCCTATTTTTAACTCCAAAGTGCATTACCTTACATTTATCGACATTGAACTTCATCTGCCATACAGTTGCCCACTCCCCGAGTTTATCCAGGTCCTCCTGTAATGTTATAACATCTAAATCCGTGTCTATTACCCTCCCAATTTTCTTATCAGCAAACACTGAGACACGGCTACTCACTCCCTTCCCTATATCATTAATAAATAGGTTAAAAAGCATGGGACCCAGCACAGAACCCTGGGGCACGCCACTCATGACCTCAACCCAGTCTGAAGAGTTGCCGTTTAGCAATACTCTTTGTACACGTTCCTTTAGCCAGTTTTCTATCCACCTGCACACTACTTCATCTATGCCCATAGCCCTTATCTTGTATAACAAGCATTTATGTGGCACCGTATCAAATGCTTTGGAAAAGTCCAGATAAACCACAGCCCTCCCTCCATCCAGATCTCGACATACCTCTTCGTAAAAGGTCAGCAAGTTGGTCTGACAAGAACGATCCTTCCTAAATCCATGCTGGTTATTGGTTATTATGCCATGTTATCGGTTATATATATATATAATTTTTTCCTCTTTAGATCTTCCATCAGTGGGAGGTCCTTGATGCATAGAGTACCGCTAATGTAAACATGTCCCTGCATCATACCACTATGTCCCTGCATCATACCACTATGTCCCTGCGTCTTTCCACTATGTCTATGACACCCTACACTCAGTTTTTTCTCAGACTTCCAGTTTTAGGCTAGGTCACACCTAGGCGATTTTAGATGCCGAGCTGTTTTCACGCATTTTCGATCGCGTGACTGTTCATTGAAAACCGCATGGTTTTCAATGCATAGAGATGTCCATGGGACCCAAACCGTGCGACAACCACCCTGAAATAGCTCCTGCCCCTTTTTGCGCGACAGACGATTTTGTCTGTGCGACAAACCGCAAGGGCGTGAACAGCCTCCATTGACTTCAATTGGAATCTGTGTTTTGTGCGATATCACGCGACTAATCGCCTAGGTGTGCACCGGCCCTCAATGACATTGGGTGTCACTCAAACCAGAACACTGAAGACGCCTTGAAGTGGAGAAGAGGTATTGCTTTTACATAAAATAGTATAGGGCTTATTTTAAAGCATTCTGTCCTTCATAAATGCAATTAGACATTTGGCAACCTTCTAATTATGTAATATCACATTTTTATGGTAAATTCTTCATCCAGTTTGAATTCTAGTGTCTACAGCTCCTGATATCACACAGCATTATAGAGGACCAAACTGATATTAGTTCCACTTTGATTACCTTGTGACAATGTCTTTATTATGGAAGTTGAAGCAACATCTACATTGCTTCAAAGTGTTCTACTACATTGTCCTCTATTATGACATTAGACAGAATCACTTTGCTAATTGTGCACAGAACTTCATCAACCAAATAGAATTCAGCTTTCATGACCTTGGACTAATGAAAATGAATCTGTGTTTGTTTGCTATTGATTACTTAAAGAGAAATTAAACTCTGGAGGCTGTGCCTAAATAAATGCAGACAGAGGGCTAAGGACTGGTCACTAGTATTGCCCATGGTCTCCCTGCAGCTGATCATTCCCCTTGCCTTGTTCTGCGCTGCATCTCTATATGGAGGCAGCCATCTTAGTAGTGGAAAAGCTTTGCTATCTTATGTTGGAGCCTCCAGCATATAGAACAGTGGGAAAATAGTAGTGACATTACTGATTACAATACCATCAATTACTATTAATCAGCGACTGCAGAAATATCACTGTTTATTTTTAACTCGTTGCGCTAATTAGGTCCTTATAATAATATAATTCCTTCAGAAAATACTGATTATATGGCCATCTCCGATCTTAGTACTTTGAGTCAATGAACGTATAACGATAGTAAAGTCTGAGTTACTGAGAGTATAGTCTGAGAGTATAGGTCCACAAGTTTGGGAACATCTGATGATCACACCTATATTTGCTTTTTGGACTTCCCATTCCAAAACCATGAGCATTAATGGGGGGCCTCCCCCCACCAATCCTTTCTAGGATCAATCTGCTAGGAAGAACTTCCACCAGATTTTGGAGTGTGTCTGGAGGAATTTGTACCATTTCAGCCAAAAGAGCATTTGTGAGATCAGGTAATATTTGACAATACGGCTTGGCTTCCAATCATAGTTTCAATTCAACCCAAAAGTGTTCAGTGTTTTGTCTAAAATGTCTTTGTATGCTGAAGTATTAAGCAGTACCCATCACTGGCAACAACTGAACTCAGTAATTTTGTAGGGCTGACTAATGTTTCAGCATCATAGCCAGGCACCTACCAGTTTCATACCGAGAGGTCAGCAGTGGCAGCTTACATTTTATCTCAGTACAAGCAAGATTCTCTTAAATAAGAAACTATCCTCTGAGAGATAGTTGCAGCTGCACATTTCTTCTTTTTTACTTGTGTCCAGAATACTTTCTGCATTAAAATGTAATTGTGCCGGCTTTCTCTACTTGCAGATGGGACTTGGAAAAACTATCCAGGCAATCGCTGTGGCTTATTTCTACAGAAATGAATGGCCCCTTCTTATCGTCGTGCCATCCTCACTGAAATATCCGTGGATTGAAGAAATGGAGAAGTGGATTCCAGAGCTGGGCCCAGAAGACATTTCAGTCATTGAGAACAAGGCTGATGTTGGGTAAGGGGCATGTGCGGGTTCTGACTGCGTGAGTGGCACATAGAATCCATGCTATAAAAGTTTACTGCACAGGGAGAAGCAGGAACAAAGCTGAAAAAGGTAATTAAAGCAGATCTTGAGTTCTAATAGCTCAAGGGTTTTAAATATAAAATATAAAGCATTCTACAGCCCTGGCCTCTACATAAACTCTACTTAGCTGCCATCTGCTGCTCCTCTTGCTGGTTGAATGACGACCAGCATCATTCATCCCACTGCCTGTGACCCCTGGCTGTCATGGACACACCCCCTTGGGACGCGTCGCCACTTTGGCCTGAGTTTACAGTATAGAACTGCAGAGAGTGGTGGTGATGTCATTATGTCAGCATCGCTTTCTGGAGCCCACCGCTGCTGCATTTGTTGCTTTGCTTACAATGTTTGGTAATTATAGATTGAGCTTGAACTTCTGCTAATGGCTGAGGGCTGATATAAGTATGTGCCAGCCATTGGAATGAAAAGGCCAAACGGTGCAGCTGAACAGTAGGAGCTGGACACAGCAAGTGTGGGCAGGAAACTGAGACTTTGGTCGCAAGATATCCACAAAAAACAGGCCGGGCCCCTCAAAACGTAAGTATCTGTGCAGGGGGATGGTGGGATAGTTTAGGTCAGTGGTTCCCATCCTGCGTAACCTCAGCACCCACATTTGTCCTCGGTCATTAAGTCGCACTGCAATGGAACGCACGGCATTGTGTTACTGCACGAAAAGAAAAAAAAATGTTTTCCATTTTTTTAAGATCCACCCAGTCTCCCTACCTTATGAGAACTGGAGCGGATCCTCAGCCTGGGGTCCAGTGTGGGCTGTTGTGCTGTAACTGAGTTCCATCCATACGTGCATTGCTTGTACAGCTCCCTTGCATGCCCTGTAGAGCTGCCGGGAGCCAGAATGTGATGTCACTCCGGTCCAGGCACCTCTACAGGACACATCAGGGAGCAGTAAGCAATGCATGCATGTATGGATGGAGCTCCTTCATGGCCATAGCTCCATCCCACCTCAAGCTGACACTTGGTGCCGGGCAGCATATTTTAAATGGCAGATTGGTGCGAGAACTGACAGTGCTGTGCAGGGGGAGGCTGAGGAGCCCCTCACCTAGAAAAGTGGAAGGCACGTGACGATCCACTGAACAAGGGGTCACGACCCATCAGTTGAGAACTAAGGGTTTAGGTAATCTCAAAGGAGAACTATGGGGTAAGTGTTTTTCCCCATAGTTCTCAGGGTCATGGGAGGACATAAACTAGCGTCCCGTGACCCAAAGCTCAGTAGCTCGCTGTTTACTGAGACCGCCGCAGCCGGGACGGATCCCGATATTACTGTTGAGATCCACCCAGCTGCATGATTGACAGCTGGTTTTGCCTATCTAGAGGCAGAGCCAGCTGTACCCGCCCCCTCCCCCGTCCCTTCTGCCAGTCAGCGCTGGAGGATCAGGGCGGGGAGGGTGGGGGGGATCCATGCAGGGAGGCGTGAGTGACAGTGACCTCTCTGCAGGGACAGGATCGAGAAGTGAGCGAGTGACGGTATGTGTTCGCTCACTTCCCGATCTATTGAGCCGACCTGTGACACTTTCATTGTCACATGTCGGCTCGAACTATGAGGATGAGTGAAAATCACTCACCTCATAGTTCTCCTTTTAAGGGGAGCCAAAAGGAAAAGTGTACTTTTGTTTTAAAGTGCACTTGTCTTTTAAGGATGTAACTTTCTGCCTTTATTACTATTTATCCTGGGATTGACATGTTTTACAAACAGGTTTAACAGTCGGCATGGTGCTGTTAATTTTATTTTGATAGGCTGGCCATCCAGTTTACTGCAGCGAATATAATTGTAAAGCAGTTGAAAGCCAAACATCTTTTTTTTTTTTCTTCTTCTGTTTGAAGGAGAATAGCGTCTTGCAAAGTGACAGTTTTGGGGTACGGCTTGCTGACTTCCGACGCCACCACGCTGATAAACGCTCTCTACAAACAGCACTTCAGAGTGGTTTTAGTGGACGAGTCACACTACATGAAGTCTCGTAATGCGTCTCGCAGCAAACTTCTCCTGCCGATTGTTCAGAGAGCGACAAGAGCACTCCTGCTCACCGGGACGCCGGCGCTTGGAAGACCCGAAGAGGTAATTGAATTTAATAGTGCAGCTTTTTTTTTTTTTTTATTCTGCTTTCTTAGACGGCTGCATGGGGTTTTCTTTACCCGAGCATCACAAAGCAAACACAGTCCTTAGAATTTAACGTTGTAATGATTTTTATATAAGCTTTCTTCTTTTCTTTCTTTCCCCTTTATGAAGCTTTACATGCAGATCGATGCGCTTTTCCCCAGACGATTTGGAACTTGGACGGAATACGCCAAGAAATATTGTAACGCGCATGTCAGGTATTCGCAGCCATAAACTTTTTTTGCTCGGTATCATCAGACTTGTAGATTGTTACTAATGAGATGCTGACATTTAAGTTGAGGATAATTCCAGGTTTAAAATAAATGATAGCCCTGAATAAAAAAAATAAGAGCAACTTCAACAGTCACCTTTAGGGATGCACCGATACTGGTATTTCGATATCGAGTACGAGTACCGATATTTTTTTTGTACCGGAAGTCCCATTCAGGAAGCCAGGCGGCGTGTAAAGACTCGCCACCCGACTTCCCGATTAGCAGGGAAGCCGTCCCCACGCTAAAGCATGGAGCCGGCTTTTTGGCCAATCAGGAAGCCAGGCACTGTGTAATGACGTGGTGCCCGGCTTCCTGATTGGCCGGGAAGCCGGTTCCATGCTCCCTCGTCATAAGGTGACCATTACACGGCACCTGGCTTCCTGATTGGCCAACTTCCGACCAGTCAGGAAGCCGGGCAGCGCGTCATTGCACGCTGCCTGGCTTCCTGATACCGGAAGTATCGGGCTATTCATCGGAACATTTGGGCGAGTATTCACCCAAACACTCGGCATCGGCACAGATACTGATGCTAGTATCGGTATCGGTGCATCCCTAGTCACCTTCATTTTAATGCTTCGATCAAAAGTCGTTCTTTACATGGTGCTTTTCTTCTTGATTTGAATGACGGCCGGTGTCATTCAACCCACTTCTGGTGAGTCATGGCTGTGATGGACACCCCTCCGGCGGTGTGTGTCATCACATGGGTCTTGGCTTACTGTACTGCAGTTCTGAATGGCAGTCACAGTACAGTAGTAGGGATGTCCTGCCACCGGAGAAGAAGAGGAAGAACTGGTAACGTCATCTGACAAGCCAGAGGATACCAGAAATTAAGGTGTACATTTTGAAAAAAAAGAGCAGGGGTCTTCAGTCATAGGGGTGCGAGAAATGAAGGGTGAGTTGGTGCTTTGAGGTTCAAGATGATCTTTAAAGTGGACCTATTGTGAGATAATGTAATTGCTTTATGAGATGCACACAGAACGCATAGCCTACCTGAAGAATGGTTTATTTTTTCAATCCAGGTTTTGTGCTGCACCAGTCTACCACACTCCCTACTGTTGATGATCTGGGAACCCCTGCTTTGGGTATAGCAGAGGAATTCACAGACACACCCACTGCAGGCTCCAAACTGTCATGTTGTGCCTCACATACAAAAAGAAAGTATCCAATCAGGGTCAAAATGTCCCTGAAGTTTGATTGTGACTAGTTCTTCAGAAAGAAGACAGAGAGTTATAGGAGAACTATGAGGGGAGTGATTTTCACTCTCCCTCATAGTTCGAGCCGACATGTGACAATGAGACTGTCACAGGTCGTCTCAATAGATCGGGAAGTGAGCGAACACATACCGTCGCTCGCTCACTTTTCCATCATGTCCCTTCAGAGAGCCGTGGCTGTCACGGCTCCCTGCAGGGACTCCCCCCTCCCCTGTCCAATCCTCCCGCGCTGACTGGAGGAACGAATGGGGGAGAGGGCGGGTACAGCTGGCTCTGCCTCTAGATAGGCAGAGCCAGCTGTCAATCATGCAGCTGGGTGGATCTCGACAGTAATGTTGGGATCGGTCCCGCCTGCGGCGGTCTCAGTATACCGCGAGCTGTAGCTCACAGTGTACTGAACTATGGGTCACGGGAGGACGCTAGTTTGTCCTCCCGTGACCCTTAGAAGAACTATAGGGAAAAACACTTACCCCATATTTATCCTTTAAACAACACAGGGCTACAGAACAATTTACTTTAATTGAGCTGAGACATATTGTGAATTCTAGCTGAAATGGACACGTGATTAGTAGCTCGCTGACCGATTTCACTTTATATCTAGGTACATAGTTGACGTTTTCATGTCCACATGTCAGTTTTCTGAAAACAATATGTAGTTACTAGTTTGTTTTAAAGTTCCTATCAGAGGTTATTTTCTTGTCCCACCACATACAGTTTTGTTCCCCTTCAACTTATTCTGACTTTAGTGCTGCTGTAAAACAATTAGGAGAACACCCTGCTGTTTACGTGATTGGGTTTGATTAGATTAGATTTGTTACTTCGAGTACAAAGAGTTGAAGCATGAAAATACAAAAGGATGTACAAATTGTATACCGCCAAGTACATTTCCCTGCACACAGCTCTAGTTTCCGTAGTGCCTGTTGCAGGAAATGAGGCTGCAGTGCTAAAGTAAATTATAATATGTTCTTGCTTGTATTTCTACATTGGAATAAAATGGCTTTCTGGTAAATGTGTAAAATCATCAATGAAAACTCAACCATGTCTATTCTTTATGAATTATTTGATGCCTATATTTAAAGCCCAGCTACGACATGGACCCCCTCCTCTCAATTCTTCCCTTGGGACCACCAGCAGTCTGTTCTGCTTTCTCTTTTTAATGCAAACCTAATTCAGATGTCTTCAGATCACATGGGGTCCTCTTTAGACCTTCTTCTAGTGCAGGGGTGGGCAACTCTGGCCCTCCAGCTGTTGTGGACCAACAAGCTGAACAACAACAAATGCCCATCAGGCATTGCAAGACTGACAGGGTCATGACTCCCAGAGGCAAAGGCATGTTGGGATTTGTAGTTAAAGCACATTTGGAGGGTCGGATTTGCCTACCCCTGGTCTACTGTGTCTTCTTCCATGGGTGTTACCACATCAAGGACACGTACCCCGAGGGGGTGTCACCATGTCGCCCTGCATTTAGTTTGATGATGGAGAGAGATTTGCCAACGCCATTACGCTAGTGCCTCTGTATCAACCTACTGGGTCCTCAGTGAGAGAAAGCAGCACTAATGACGTCGGCACCTCTCTCTCTCTCTATCATCGCACTGTGAGTGTAGGCCAACATAATGACACCCCTCAGGGTGCAGGTCCATGATGCCTTGCACTCACAATATGTCCTCAGTCATTTAGGCTTCATTCAGTTAGGATGGCTGGGGGAGGAGATGAGTATTAGAGACAGAGCTGCCGTTTTTATTGCTGCTTTGTTTCTTTCTTGTGAGAAATGTCCCCTTACTCATTTGTCCTGGAGACAGGAAGTCACAGTGGCAGGAACTCATGGGAAATTTCTGAAAGGGCTACAGAGATAGTAAATTAAAACATGCTTTATTTCTCGTCTTTGTGAAGGGTAGAGAAATCTGCCCAGGAGTAAATACCTGACTGTTCCTTCCCCTTCCCCATTTATTTTCCAAATCTAAAAAAACAACCTGCCTGACATTGGGTTGTAAATAATGCACAGCCTCTTTAAAACAGGCCCGTGAGTTAGCAGTGAATATAATGATGTGAAGGCGCAGGGCAGCAGAGGCAGAGATAATTGCCTTTGATGCAAACTGTTCATATACTGTACATGTAAATGATGCTAGTGTAAGTACCTTTTGCCTTAATATTGGCTTCCTGTAATCCCCTGTACATCAGCATTCAGACCAGGAGATGGAGGGCCAGCAGACTGAAACAGTCATGGCTCTGTTGCTTTGTGCAGTGCTAGTCTCACACTTTTAACATGCTTACAGGGGTGGTAAATACTTATATTTTATATGTGTAAATAGTTGTCTGCCTAGAGTTTAGCTAGACAGTTTAAATGAGTCTTTGTAGAGGTTTTGTTAAATCAGAACCCCAGAAGAAAAATCGTATCTCAGGATTTTGGTTATATGCCCAACCTAGAACTCCTTCCTTACTATTGGCGCTGCAAGCTACCTATGTGTGCGCCGGTTCCTCCAGTCAGCGCTGGAGGATCGGAGAGGACGGGGGGAATCCCTGCGGGGAGCCATGATTGACAGTCACCTCTCTCTGCAAGGAGATGATCGAGAAGTGAGCGAGCGATGGTATATGTTCGCTCACTTCCCAATCTATTGAGCCGACGTGTGACAGTTTCATTGTCACACGTTGGCTCGAACTATGAGGATGAGTAAAAATCACTCCCCTCATAGATCTCCCTTAATGCGGACCTTAGTGACGTCTGCATGAATTCCTGTCACTATATGCGGTAAGAGTATAAATAAAAAAAAAAACACCTTTTGCACCTCAATGCAGTCATTGCGCTCTAGACTGGTGACTGTGCCTAGTCTGAGATGATGACCTCACTCTGCTGCAGACAGGAAGAAGCATTTCCTCATTCTCCTCTCCTCCGGTGATCAGACTGCAACATTGTAACTTTGTAGATAGTAACGAGGTTAAGGTCTGCAGCAGGATCTGATCCGTGTCGGACATTTGTCAACACCATCAAGAGCTGCACGGGATTTACATGCCTGTATCATCTCTGATCCAGCATCTCAGTCCAGGAAGTACATGCTGACCTTGGATGATGCCTGAATATGGGGGTACTGTGATTTCTGTGAGAGATAATATATACCCCTGTGACACTTTTATATATTACTTAGCATGCATTCACTTTACTTGAAACAAATATATCTGATAATAAGTCTACTTATATCACCATTTGTACTCCAACCTGCTAACTGTGCAGCGAGGAAGCAGCAGGACATTAATGAGGTCATGCCCCTGCCCCACTCTCCTGTAAGCATGTTCCATGTTCGAATGACAACCACTGTTCAAAGTAATAGAACCTTGATTGGCTCAAAATGTTGCCCGTTCCATGCTGTGCTGAGGACTACGGGAGGATGATTTCAACATAGATTGAGTTATTTAGAATAGTTCTATGTAAAGGTTGTTTTTGTAACATTTACAGGGTTATTCACAAAAGGGTGAAGAGTTTGGAGAAGGCCAGAGAAGTGAACAATCTAGGACAACATAGCTCAACCTGGAAAGTGAGCTGAATTGGAGAATGTTTCCAAATCAGCTATTTTGTCCTAGATTGTTCACTTCTCCTGCCTTCTCCAAACTCTTCACCCATTTGTGAATAACCCTGTTAGTATCCAGTCACACTGCCACATTGCGCTAAAGATACAATATCCATGAGTTGAGCACAGGCTATTGCGCAACACAATGCAACGCACACTAGGTTCCTTGGTGCTTTGCGTTGCCATTCCTTCTGAATAGCACCCCAACACCGCTCCTGGCGGGCATGCATTGCACTGCAACATGCGTTCGGCAATACCTTGCATTGCCATGTGGTTGAACAAAGTAAAGCATGTGGAATGAATGGCAACGTAACAAATGGCAAATCACTGCACCTATCGGATACCGCGCCTTTAGCGTAACACAGAAGTGTTTATGACCCTAAATGAATGCTCTGCACTTGCTTATGAATGATTCCCTGCCATTTCAGATGCACAACAATAATTTTCCTGTTGACAAACCCCCTTTAAAAACATTTACAGACACATGATGACAATAGACTTAATAAACTCTATTTACAACCTCAATTATTTCCCGGCTCTGTCTTGCGGTATTAGTGTATTTTAACTTGAATGAAATCATTAAATTATTCTGGACCTGGAATGGGAGATGGTAAACAAACAAGTGTTTTAGCTAGTTCTGGAAAAAAAAAATATTTTCTTTCCGTATTTTTCTGTCCCTACTTAAAGGTCTTCTCCTGAATTTATGTAAAGCGGTGAGAACGCTGCCTGAGGATGGGTCTCTGCGGCTCCCCTTAATGCATGTATCTAGGGCTCTGCATTAAACAGGCGTTAATGCCCTGCATGGAGCATTCTGGCTCTCCCCTCTCGCTAGACCCTAATTTTGCTAAAAAGGTTCTTCAACTGAATGTAATTGAATTTTACCGGCTTGTTGATGACTCCAGCCCGCTCAGAGCTTTGCATCAAGAGATCAAAGCTGTCTGCGGGAACTTAATCTTGTGTTCAACCAACACAGATATGTCTGGTGTTTATGTAATGCCTAATAACAGGTGCCCGGGCACTCTGAGATCAATTAATGCCTTCGATGTCACCGAGAGCTGCATCAATTGCTCTCTAGTACATTCCAGGGCCCTACATCTTTGAGAAGAGTGTTTAACGTGTCTCTATAGTGGCGTGGGGTTTTCACGTGTTGTTTTTTTTTTCTAATTTCCCAAAGGTACTTCGGAAACAGGACTCAATGGGATTACCGAGGAGCCTCCAATTTAGAGGACTTACACCAACGATTAAGTAGTATTATGATCAGGCGATTAAAGAATGAGGTTTTAACCCAGCTACCTCCTAAAATCAGACAGCGCATCCCGTTCGACCTGCCGAAAGATGTAGCCAAGGTGGGTTGTAAATTAAATCTGCTTTACCCCAATAGGAGTATGAAAATGTGCTTCCTGTGTCATTCTATTGTGTATGCTGGTAGTGTTTAGTTAGGGTTTTGGGCAGCAAAATGAATGATGAAAGTTAACCCTCCATTGGCTGACATTAACATTTAAACCCTGCCTCAAACTCTACTAACTACCCTCCTTTTTTGAACTGTAGAACTTTACTCAATGTCTGAGATAAGAAGTAACACTAGACCTAACCCTAAACAGAACACTTAGCCCTCATTTACACGAGTGCCAGCCCGTACAGATCCGTGCTGTGTGCGTAGCCGTATCGGGCAGTTCCCAAGAACGACAGGTGCTGCATGTGATTTGTGCGCAGCAGCCTGTCCATCTCTATTGGAGTATGCGGTGCCAGGATAGATCCCGGGAGCTGTTCGATACGGCCGTGCACGCAGCACAGATCTGTATGTGCTGGCCGCTATCTGCGTGAATGAGGGCTTAAAGGGGTCCCCTTCAATAAACCGCCAGCACTAAATACACAGGAAAACAAAGTCCCTTACACATACATGCCTTTTAGTCTCTTTAATCCATAACAATAGACCTAAAACTTAACATGTAAAGCGGACCTGCCAGCACTAAATACAAAGGGGGAGAATTTATTACAACTGGAGCAGACACAATCTGGAGCAGCTGTGCATGGCAACCAATCAGCTTCTCTCTCCAGTTTGCCAGTTAAGATTCGAAAATGAAAGAGAGAGGCTGATTGGTTGCCATGCACAGCTGCTCCAGATTGTGTCTGCTCCAGTTGTGGTAAATTCCCACAAAAGTACTGAAATGAAAACTGAGTCCTTTACATATACATGTCTCTTTAGTCTGGTTGTCCCCAATCCCCCTGGTCCATCCTGCTCCAAAACCTGTTACCATTTTAAAGTGACAACAAACTCAGGAATAATATATGTTAAAAATGCATTCAAGTGCCTTTAAAGTAGCCACCGCTCCAAGCTCGCTCCCCTGATAAACTACAATCTCAGTACTAATTAGTAAACTAAACATGAGATTGTAGTCCATCCCGGGAGTGAGCTTGGAGCGGCGACTACTTTACAGCACACACAGGGACCATGGGGAACAAAAGTAGCCCCCCTCCAGAAGGAAGGGCAGTGTCAGCACCAATTCAGAGATGATTTGAGGATCTACAGCCGAGTATTACACAAATAAGATACATTTTCATTAATAGTTCAGGTACTTGAATGCATTTTTAAGATGTAACTCCTGAGTTTAGTGTCACTTTAGACAGTTACAGCAATGGTGGCCATCTTCTTCTCCCTTGGTCTTTGTGCTGGTCCACCGAAGACGTCTGTGCCAGATCTTGCACATGCTGCGTATGAGATCTGGCACAGTTTATTATTGCAAGAACAACACTTTGATAAGATTATTTATAGGCGTAGTCATGAAATCAAATATATGCCTCATGGAGAAGTGGGGAGGCTCATGCAGTGGGTGAGGGATGATTTATAAAGGGAAAGTCAAGATCTGCCTATCATGTCAGCTGTTTTTGCCCAGTGATCAACACTTTAGACCCAACAGAGAAACAGTTGTGGAGCTGCAGGTAGATTTCTATTTGAAGAAAGGACATTTGGCAGCTGCGGAGTTACATGTTAAAGTCACATTGATGACACGTCCTCCACCTGTCATCTCATTACAACTTTATTGGGTTCCACGAGCCGATAATAGCGTCTCTGTCCAGCAAGACTCGCAGTTTCATGGATCAATAAATAAATTATGTTAAAGAGGCCTGTGCTCTCCTGTACAGGAGGTCCTTCTCCTCCGCATTACAAAATATGGTGCATAAGTGGATGTCTTGGTAATGTGTCACAATATAGAGAAAAAAAAAAAAAGAATTACTGCACAAATGATAAAAAGGGCTGACAGAATGATTCATGGATGTATTTTTACCAGCTCTTTGCCCCTTGGGTACAGAGCAAGTAAAGTAGAGAATCACAGCTTGTATCCCTATTTAGATTAAATTAAAATTCCCAGAAAATCCTGTGCAGACATTTAAAAATGAGCCTGCTTTAAATGTACTCTATGCTGTATAATCCCTTTAAGTGATAAGATTTGCACTGAGACTCATTTTCTCCCTATTGATTTATTAGCTTGGTAAGATGGCATCCATTTCTTTTTTTTTTTTTTAACACTCTCGTGTCAGATTTTGCATTTGATTAGATCATGGGGCTACCGACCTCTGTGATTTGATAGCTGTATGTTGAAGGTCCCCAGTCTTTTACAGTGTGGGTCACATGCCAACACTTGATATCGGAAGCCAGTACTATGATAGCTTTGGTTAATAAGGATTTTATATATGGTAATGAAATTATTTAAGTTGGCCTTTCTCAATCAGGGCTCCATGGAACCTTTTGGGGTTTCTTCAGAGGTTGCTAGAGCTTAGTAGTGGGGAACGATGGCAGATGCATAGTTCTGGTACCCCTTAGAGCCAGCGGCATGCGACTAATGGATTCTATTAGGTAATTAACCTCTGACAACAAGGACAAGATTTACCATTAGATTAGTCATAGTGGAGGATAGAGAAATGCTTCATAGGGACAGGGGATGCCATTTACTTTGTTTACATTTTTGATTGGAGAAGTTTCATAAAACATGTGGAAGGTGAGCAATTTAAATAGAGCTCACTAGGAGTTACATCTGTATTGGGCTTCTTAGCCATTTTGTGGGGTCAACTACTGTTCGTGTTCCACAAGAGCCTATTCTATATGCAGTGACCCAGAGCAGCCTATCGGAAATCATTTTCAAATCATCTGGTTAAGCTCGCCTCCAATCAGGTGCACCAATTGACTTTATAAATACCTGTTGTAATCATAAGATTTCTGTAACAATGTGGCATTGCTGTGTCACATATACAGTATATTGCTGGTACTACTCTTGCTCTCTTAAAGTTCCCAGGCTGCATACTGCAAGCTTCAAACTGTAATTTACAATATTAAAATCCAGCTACACCTCTAATAAAGCATTCTGTTGATCATATACATGTTAGTTGGTGTTAAAGTGAAATAATATACTATGTTTAACATTTTTATTCTTGCTGTCAGCAACAATTATATCTAATTAGAGACCTGCAGAATGGGAATCAAGTTGCTCATCATAGCTTGAAATCTGTTTTACTTTTCCCTGGCCAGGAAATGAACACCAGCTTTGAAGAATGGGAGAAACTGATGAGATATCCCGAATCAATGGCTTCAGATACCTCCAACCCGTTCTTTCAAGTCATGGGGCTCATCACACGCATGTTTAAGCAAACTGCACTAGCTAAGGTCTAAAGCTGTTACTAATGTTCTATGATACCTGGTACTAGTAATCATGATATGAGCTAGTCTGAGATGTCAATTTTTCATTGCGAGTATTTGCTCCTGGGTCATATAATGCTTTCTTGCTCTTTTTGTTGTTGTTGGTTGAAGTGTTTTAACACACGGTCATGTTGCAATGTTAACACTAGGGATGCACTGATACCGGTTTTTCAGTATCGAGTGCGAGTACCAATATTTTGCTTTTGGTGCTCGCTGATACCAGTGCTTCCGCTGGCTTGGAGCTGGCTTCCTGGGCAATCAGGAAGTTGAGTAATGACATGCTGCCCAGCTTCCTGATTGGCTGGAAAGCTGGCTTCCCAGCCAATCAGCATGGAGCTGGCTTACCGACCAATCAGGAAGGCGAGGGGCGGATCATTACTCAACAACGTTCAACATGCAGATTTCCATTGGTGCCCTTTTACACCTGAGTGTTATAGTTGTTGCCAAAAAGAAGGTACATTAGCATTTTTTGAGCAGAATCATTTTTGGCCCCATAGACTATAAGGGAGCACCTGAGAACATGCGACACAAGCATCTGAGTGCGGTTTTGTGCCGAACAACCGGTCTCCTCCTCCTCAGGCCTTTGAGCAAAATGGAAGACTGAGGAGTGTTCTTGCTGGATGTGTAGCTTAGTGAAAGCCAACAAGAACCCCTATGACCCCCATGATGCCCATTAAAAGAACCACGGCAGTGGGCCTGGGGGGAAATTGGAGGTGAAGTCTCCCAGATTGGGAGTTCCAATAACACAAGGCAGAGGAACCGTGAAGAAGATCCAAGGACCACATATGATGTCACACATGATACTGTCTTCCGTTGGCCAAAACAAAAACTTCAAAATCGTCTGCAAATACTGACGCTCAAGTCTGAATGGGGACTTAGCGTGAAACCTGGTGGCTCAGGAAATGGTTTTGAATTTCGTTCCATTTCAGCAATTTGTGACTTCCCAGGGCTCAGGACCGATTTTATGCCTTAAGACTTGGTGGCTCTGAGCTTCCCTTTGACTCCAAAATCACCTAAAGAACCCCCTACCGTCGTTGTATTTTTTTTTACCTGCTTTCAAATAATCTCTGGAACATTCCATCATCCGTGGCGGTAACATTTGCCGATGACTTCAACTTTGAAATCAAACTTTGAAATTTTATTTTTAACACATCCAGACGAAAATACATAGCTTGCATATGTTCTAAACTTGCTCCCGTTTTTTTATTCCTTTTTTTTTTCTCAAAACAGCTTTTTGCCAAGCCAGATGCTGTTTCTTGAGGCAAAAAGACCCAAACACCCACCAAAGGTTTATAACTCAGTGTTGCCATGGAAACTGAGCTGCCTCTAATAACAGCCGAGTTTTTAGATTAGCAGACAACGTTGTATCTGTGTGAGAAGATGTCACCGCACTAGCACCATGGGGACCGTACCTCTCCGCGTTACCTGCAGACAAATCATTCTTAACGATCACATTTACTATTAATACACTTAGCACCGGAGAACATAAGTGTAAATTGATTAGATCAGTATCTGAAGCCCGCCATTATTGGCAGCCTACGTTAATGCGACTTCACACACACACTGTGTATTAAAATGCTGCAATTTAGGAGATAGATAGCCGCCGCACCTCCGTTATTTCTCGGCTTCGGCGATGTTTGTATACTGCTTCGGCTATAATTGGAAAATTGAGAAGACGGGACTTTTTTTATTTATTTATTTCCTGCTTCTTTTAAAGGGACGCCGATTGAAATAATGAAAATATGTGTGTGTGTGTGTATATGTATGTGTGTGTATATGTGTGTGTGTGTGT